TGAATTTGAGTAGCAGCCATCAGCGTGCATTTCCTTTTTGAATGGCAGAATGACCGCTATTTTGTATCACGCACACTTTATATATTTTTTTTTTTAAATATATATGTCGATTCGTGCAACACGCTAATTTAAGCCTTTGATGTTGTTCAGCTATGTGTTAACTGGCAACACTTCTATATGCCTACACATTGCCGATGTTGAACCAATGTGGCATATCCTTGAAATAGAGAAACTCTATCAATTTAAAAAAAAGATGTTTTTCACTGAAACTTAAACCTTGAGTGTATACTATTTAGTCTGAATCGCCCCACTAATAAAAAAGAGGACATTTATTACGATTATTTTGATACAGCGAACCTGGTTTCTAGTGTTTATTAGATTTGCACCTGGGTTTGAAGGCCCAAGCTGATATGAAATTGGCTCACGTAAAGATTTCGCAGCTTTACATAATTTATTACTTGTTCGTTTATTTCAAACATGCGACATTTTACTGGACATTTGCACAAATTTTCAAATGTCTCTTCAAGTATAACAAGCTCATCTAAAAGATATCACAACAGACGTTCAACAAATGTTATTGTATTCATTCATCCATTCATTGAAGAAGCGTTTCTAATGCAATTTTTTTTTTATACATAATATTAACTATAGACATAGTTATGTCTTACATTGTTACAGTTGCTGAAATGAGACTGTGCATTTAATACATGGGTGGTTGCAGAGCTTCCAATATTATGCTTTATCAAACCAAAATGATAGCTAAATAATTTACGGTAGGATACGAATGGATATTTTATTTTTACTGCCTTCATTACGGGCAAAACTTCTACAACCCCAGTAATCAATTCATTAACCCTGTTGTAGATTCTGGCCACTCTGACATTCTGACAAACAAAGAAACAAATAAATTTAAAAAAACGAATAAATAAATAAACTTACAAATAAACTTACAAATAAAATTACAAATAAATAAATAAATAAATAAATAAATAAATAAATAAATAAATAAATAAAGTTTATTTGAACTTAATGTTATGATACAAGAACATAAGACTGCTTTCCCTTCATGTTATGTGTCGGATTTGACTTATCTTGAAAAACTGTCGGATTATTAGTTTAGCTAGTTTTTATTTATCTACGGTTTACAGGTTTAAAAATATGTTTTCGATCTAGTTAAACGCAAATATTATGGATGTCAATACCACAGGTGTTTGTGTACGACAGTGTATAGAATACATTGTGTTATGCAGATTGTAACAACAAAACAGTATGTATATATGTTTTTTGTTTTTGTTTTTTTTTAGTTTATTTTTTTTATTGGAAATAATTATGGACTTGGCAAGTGGTGC